CAGAGAGAGAGAGAGAGAGAGAGAGAGAGAGAGAGAGAGAGACAGAGAGAGAGACAGAGAGAGAGACAGAGAGAGAGACAGAGATCGGGAGAGACTTTGTGTTCAGTGCAAAGGAGTATATTATGAGTGGGAGAAACATAAAAAAGTGTTTTTACGGCTCTATCGAGAATTCTATTTAATTATTTAGATCAATTTAGGAGGTGGGTTTCCAACCCTACCTGTCAGGGTCAATCGGGGCTGAGAGGGATACACCATCCTATCAGAAAGACCGAGATAATAGAAGAAAAAAAATCTGCCCTGCTCGGGAATTGAACTCGGATCTCCTGCGTGCGACTACAAAGTGCTCAACCGCTACACCACAGGCACCTGTCACAACCGTCTGCAACACTGTATTCCCATTAAAGGGACAGGCGTGTTTTGCCCTATTTTTCGTAATAATTATAGTTTTACGTCACTTGAAACGCAAAGGAGTAATATATGTGCAGAAGATTAGAGGTGTTACAGTTACAAGAGAGTAACAAACACAAAAAGAAGAAGGAACGATAAGGACTGTAAATAATTGATAGGAAAGAAGGAGCACCAGAGCACTGGCCTACCATTCACGAGGAACACTCAGGAAAAGATAGACCGAGGGAGTAAATTACTCCTTAAACACACTGTGTACTACGTCACTACTTCCTGAGAAACATCCATTGAGCACTACGTCACTGCTTTTTGTATAACAGTCACTGTGTACAACGTCACTACTTCTTGTATAAAAGCCACTGTGTATTACATCACTACTTCCTGAGTAGCATCCACCGTGTACTACGTCACTATTTCTACAGTAACATCCACTGTGTGCTACGTCACTACTTTTAGAGTAACAGTCTCTGTATATTACGTAACTACTTCTAGAGTGACATTTACTGTGTACTACGTCAATACTTCCTGAGTAACAACCACTGTGTACTACGTCATTACTTTAAGCGTAACAGCAACAGTGTAGGCCCTACTACGTGACTACTTCTGGAGGTGCAGTCTTTTTTTTCACTTTTTTTTCTTCAAATGGGGGACACTAACTGAAGGAGAGAAAAAAAACATGAACAAAATGTTATAGATCTACCTGTGTGTCTCTGACAGTCTCATGAGGTAGACCCATAGGTGCAACAGGGAAAAGTCTCATGATTTCCAGGATGACGGCCTCTGTGTAGACAAGTCCTGGCCTGTGTTCTCTGCCAGGTACAGCGTCTCCTGAGAGGTCAAAAGTGAGAATAAAATAAATGGTACTTTAAATGTTTATCAAAGAAAAATAAGAGATCCATAGTTTCTTTAACTTTTTTATCTTTGGTTTTTAAATTTCAACTTCACTAATAAAGTACATTTCGGTTTTAAACAAAAATTGTCTGAGCACTCACTCACTCATTCACTCACTCACCAACAATATCATCGATTTCTGTTTGCACTTTCTTCTGAACGTCCGGGTTCAAGGCCAGGTAAAGAAATATCCAGCCCAGAGTGAGTCTCGTGGTATCGATACCGGCGAAGAAGACATCGGATAGGGTCTGGGTTATGTGAGAATCGGTGAAGGCAGCCTGGGGAAAATGTCACGTGACAGGTGTTGTTGTTGATGACGTTTGCCTCTCTGCTTAGACGTGATTTAGGTGGTTCTGAACGTGGGAACTTGGTTCTCCATTAGGAAAATAGTTTTGGTAAGTGTTTTACAAAGCTTGCAACTGCATAAGGTCATATAGATCTATTATAAGCACGTGGGACACAGTAAGTATTTTCATTTCGGTAGGAATTAATTTTAAATTTTGCCCCGATGGCGACAGAAGCCTACTCTTATCGATTTCAGGACGACCAAGGAATCTTTAAAGTGCGCAACTTGTACACGGGACCTCTGAGACCCCCCCCCCCCCCCGCTTATCCGAGGCTTGGTCTTCGATCTTACTTATCATAAGAACAGGGGTGTGGATGAAAAACAGCGTGGGTGGTTGGCGGGTGCTCTAGTGTGGTTTGCTTCTTCTTTACTATCAAACATCTCTTTCTATTTATTGTTTGTTACTCTCTTGTAACACCTCTAATCTTCGGCACTTATATGACTTTATTGTGTTGCAAGTGCCGTAAAACTCTCACGAAAACTGAAAAACAGCAGTAAAAAGGAGCCAGGAGTAGCAGTAGAAAGGGCCAGGGGCCCAGGGAAAGGGGAAAAGAGGGGCGGGGGACAGAAAGTGGAGATGAAAGCGGATGGCAAAACATGATTGAAGAGCAGGAAAAGAGGT